AAGAGGACTACACCTAATACTTAAGAGTAACCCTGCCTGATGGTCTGAAAGGGACTCCACATCCATTCCTAAGGAGTAACCCTGACTGATGTCTGACGGGAACTCCACCTGCATTCCTATGGTGTGTCCCTAACTGATGTCTGAAGGGGACTCCACCTGCAGTCCTAAGGAGTGACCCTGATTGATTGTCTGAAGATGAATACACCTTCAGTACTTAGGAGAGACCTTTTCTGACTGTCTGAAGAGGAATCTACCTGTGGTCCTGTGGTGTGACCCTGACTGACACTCTGAAGGGGACTACACCTACAGTCCTAATGACTAACCCTAACTAACTTTCTGAAGGGTATCCTCCTCCAGTTCTAAGGTGTGACCCTGAGTGACAATCTGAAGGGGACTACACCTTCAATCTTATTAGTGACCCTGTCTGACTGTCAGAAGGGGACTCTACCAGCAGTCTTAAGGAGTTACCCTAACTGGCTGTCTGAAGGGTATCCTCCAGCCATCCTAACGAGTAACCCTGAATGACAGTGTGAAGCGACTGCACCTTCAGACTTAGGTGTGACTCTGGCTGAGTGTCAGAAGGGGACTCCACCTGCAGTCCTAAGGAGTGACCCTGACTGACTGTGTGAAGGGGACTTCACCTGGAATCCTAATGAGTGACCCTGACTGACTTTCTGAAGGGGACTCCACCTTAAGGATTTAGGAGTGTCCTTGACTGACTGTATGAAGGGGACTGTACCTGTGGTCCTATGGAGTGACCGTGACTGAATGTCTGAAGGGGACACAACCTTCAGGTCTTAGGAGAGACTGTCGTTGACTCTCTGAAGGGGAATACACCTGCAGTCCTAAGGACTGACACTGACTAACCTACCGGTAGAAGGGACTCCACCTGCAGTCCTAAGGAGAAACCCTTACTAACTGTATGAAGGATATCCTTCTACAGGCCTAGGGAATGACACTAGCAACAATCTGAAGGGGACTACACCTTCAGACGTAGGAGTGGCCATGTCTGACTGTCAGAAGGGGACTCCACCTGTAGTCCTAAGGAGTGACCCTGACTGACTGTCTGCAGGGGACTCCACCTGTAGTCCTAAGGAGTAACCCTGACTGACTGTCAGAAGGGGACTCTACCTGTGGTCCTAAGGAATGACCCTGACTGACTGTCAGGAGAGTCCACCTGCAGGCCTAAGGAGTATCCCTATACACTGTCTGAAGGGTATCCCCCTACAATCCCTAAGAGTGACCCTGATTGACTATCTGCAGGCTATTCTCCTACATTCTTAAGGAGTGAACCTGACTGTCTGTCTGAAGGGGAATACACCTTCAGGACTTAGGAGTGACCTCTTGTGACTGTCTCAAGGGGACTCTACAAGTGGTCCTGGGGTGGGACCCTGACTGACACTCTGAAGGGGACTACACCTCCAGTCCCAATAACTAACCCTAACTAACTCTCTGAAGGGTATCCTCCTCTAGTCCTAAGGTGTGACCCTTGTGACAATCTGAAGGGGATTACACCTTCAATCTTAGGAGTGACCCTGTCTGACTGTCAGAAGGGGACTCCACCTGTAGTCCAAAGGAGTGACCCTGACTGACTGTGAGAAGGAGACACCACCTGCAGTCCTAAGGAGTATCCCTATACACTGTCTGAAGGGTATCCCCCTACAGTCCCTGAGTGCCTATCTGCAGGCTATCCTACATTGTTAAGGAGTGAACCTGACTGTCTGTCTGAAGGGGAATACACCTGAAGTCGGACACCACCTGCAGTCCTAAAGAGAGACCCTGACTGACTGTCTGAAGTGGACTTCACCTGCAGTCCTAAAGAGAGACCCTGACTGACTGTCTGAAGTGGACTTCACCTGCAGTCCTAAAGAGAGACCCTGACTGACTGTCTGAAGTGGACTTCACCTGCAGTCCTAAAGAGAGACCCTGACTGACTGTCTGAAGTGGACTTCACCTGCAGTCCTAAAGAGAGACCCTGACTGACTGTCTGAAGTGGACTTCACCTGCAGTCCTAAAGAGAGACCCTGACTGACTGTCTGAAGTGGACTTCACCTGCAGTCCTAAAGAGAGACCCTGACTGACTGTCTGAAGTGGACTTCACCTGCAGTCCTAAAGAGAGACCCTGACTGACTGTCTGAAGTGGACTTCACCTGCAGTCCTAAAGAGAGACC